CCTATGCTTCTATATGCCACCATTACACATCACTACCTGTGTGTCTCCTCTCTCCCGTAGTGTGTCCTCTCTCTCTCCCTGTACCTTTCTGCAGGTTGCCCTGGCCCTGGAGCTCTATATTTCTGATGAGCAGTCACCGGCTACATCAACTTGACCAGTGTTCGATTGTTTGTTGTGTCTTGTTGCTTTTCTTCTTTTGTCTCTCCTCTATCCACTCACCCCAACCGGTCGAGGCAGAAGGCCGCCCACCAAGAGCCGGGGTCTGTCGGAGGTTTCTTCCATTAAAGGGAGTTTTTCCTCCCTACTGTCGCCAAGTGCTTGCTCAAGGGGGATTTGTCGGGTTTTCCCTATGTAATAATATTGATAACAGTAAGGTCTAGACCTTACTTTGTAAAGGGTCCTGAGATGACTTTTGTTGTGATTTGGCGCCATACAAATAAAATTTGATTTGATTTGATTTGAAGGAAGAAACTGTGTTAAAATGTAAACATTTCTGTACATTGGTAGTGAATACCAGTGCTGAAAATGAAAGAAAAAAATAGAAACAAGTAGTGGTTAAGAATAAATAAAAAGCCAGAAACACACACTCCTACCCTTTGTGACCCTGTGTGTAGTGTGGGTTGCCAGCTGTAGAGTCACACAGAAGGAATGCCTTGAGGGTTTTTTGCCTGAGCAAAGAAAAATGTAACTGAAGGCAACGGACTGGAGGAACCGGTTTGTGCCCATCTCTCTGTGCCAGAATCGGTTTCAACGAGCCAGTAAGACTGTACATAGTGTAATGTATATGTGTTAAATTTTAAGTTGTGGCAAGCTAAAACTTGGTCTCTAGTATCAGTGATAAGAAGCTCTGGGTGTCACTAACAGAGAATATAGGCTAAACAGAAATGAAGACAAATACGACACTGGGAGTGGTTTTAACACCAGGGAACAATATCAACAGACTTTAAATACTCTTTGGACAAATATAGTATATAACTTTACTGCTCATCGAGTTATGAGTTGATTGTGACTATCTCCCTATAGCTGACTGGCTGAGTGAACAGCTGACCAGCCTGACTGCTGGTCCGTTATAGTTTGCGTGTACGTCTGACTGATGATGGTACTGATTTGATCTGGCACCGTCACTGCCCTTGCTGTGACCCTGAACTCAACCTGAGCGGCTGGCAAATGTATCTGGCTGTCAGGATATCACATCAAAGCACAAATCTGTAATGTACATCTAATAGTCATTGTTGATTATCGGTTTACAGTAAGTTGATTTCCACCAAGATTTATGTTTCCTACACACCAAAACTGTGATTTTGTTTCCTGCTGCAATCTTGGTTTGAACTCATATGAGTACGAATATTGTTTACACTGATATTGGATATGTGTACCACTGCAGACATTTGGTGCATGGCAACATGAATATCAGTCTCATTAGAATGAATAACGTGTCAGGAGGGAACTTGACCAGCTGAATCAGGATAGGGCAGAACTGCCACAGGATTTTAAGCTTCATATCATTACACTTCATTTTATCGGTGTCATGGGATAAAAGAACAATAGATTATTCATGACATCAGAAAGCCAGATTGTACAAAAGCAGATGTACTATGAGAAATGAATTCATTAACTACCTAAGATAAAATATTGCATTTATAGGCTGCCCAGAGGCAGTGTGTTTCAAAATGCGGAGTGCAGGTGATCTCCCCTGCATTTGTTCATAATTTGATCCAAATTGCAGCTGCTCTTCTATAATACATCACCACTGCCAGCACAGAGGTGATTGTGAAGTTTAGTTGTAAAGATGGACAATGGAAGACAGGAATGTGAGAAGTGTGCCAAGAATCATTTGTGGATTGTCTGGAGCTCAGAACTTTACACAAATATTACAATTATTATTAAATTATTACCTCTTACAGTTACACATCAGCCTTAAGTTGGATAACTAACATAGTCTTGTTAAACCTTTGAGATCCTTCTTCCTTCCTTACAGACATGTAGTTCGGTAATGACAGTGAGGAATTAGAGAAAGATACAGTATCATGGGGAATATTAGTCAGAGAGGTGTGACTTTCCTCTGTCAATCAGTGTTTTAGTCCCAATAAAACAAAGACATCAGTTTTCTCAATCTGCTATGTGTTCACATGTGTATTTGCAGAAATCTCAATGCATTCATCAGTAAACACCTACAGTTCTGCATTTTATCCTCATTAACTATATTAACTGTCTTTTTTGTACAGTTTTTCTTCTGCTTCTTCTTCCTCGTCTCCTTCCTAAAAACATTCAAGCAAAGGTTTTCTGAATGCTTGCATCATACCTTCACTTGTGTTGTTTGGCATTCAGGGTGGACAGCAAAGAATTTCATAGTGCAGGGAAACACGTTTCCATACTGTGCATATGACAATAAACACTATGAATCTTGAATCTTGAACCTTGCTTTGGCTGGTATGTAAATGTGTGTGTGTCCTCCACTTCTAACCTTGCGTGGGTTCTGTGTTATGTCATCCAGACTGGTAGACAGCAGGTTATCTTTCATGGCCACATACAGATGCCTCCCGTCTTCATCCGGCAGCAGAGAGTGCAGGTCTCCAGCCGCTAGGGGGAGCGTCAGCAGACGGCCATTCTGGATCAGCTCTGTCAAGAAGGAGAAGAGCAGCAAAAGAGAACATGAAGGATTCAAATCAGTGAAAATTGCCCATTCATGTGTTATTAAAGTTGGATTTGGCGCTGCCACTCAGCTGTTCAGACAGTTTATCCCAGTGCACACCGGTGGTACTGCAACAAAAAAATCCTCATTGGGCCCAAAAAGCGTTTTCTGCCTAGACCACAATGATAAAAGAGATGTCTGTAAAACTGTTAACAGGACACTAACTATAGTGTATCCTTTGCCAACTGACAAATACAGATATTTATGCCACAGACACGTACCTGAGGTACATCTCCAGACAGATTATATGATAACAAGGGATGCCAAATGATTACACTGTTGGGCCATGTAAAGTATGGGAGCTATGGTGCGGGAGATCGGTCGATAGCTCAACAAGGACAGGAATCGCACGTCTTTCTGTCTTGTGTTAACTTTCATATTTTAACTACAAAGCTATAGGCTTTAAGGCAGTACAGGCATAACATGTTGGCAGCTGCAAATAGCAGTGAGAGGCAGAAAGAGCTTATAAAAACAGGATGAACTTCAAAACCCAGAAAATTGGGCCCATAATGTTAGTCAACCTCACAAACCTGGCTGTTCTACAGTGCTTCATACCAAATGACACCAAAGAGGGGAAAGGCAGAGGACAACATTGTCCTCTGTGTACTTTTTTCTCTATGTACTGTAGTTTAAACCAGACTTGAGGGAGAAATAGGAAATATGGCATAATAATATAACTTCTAACTACCATAAACTGCTGCCCAATGTAGCATTAACACAATATTTTGGCATTTTCCCAACTCATTTTGAAAGAAATGACAAAGAATTGTGTAATTAGTGAACACTATTTTGTTGCAGGACCTATTAAAGGGTTACAATACATAAACCTCTCGCTGCAATGCCACTACATTTACACACTAAAACCACCCAACCAGCAAAAATGTACGCATCAACTCTGTTTGCACATCATGGTGGCTGCCTTTAATTCTTTACATTTTGCCCAAATAGCCTTGCCTCTCCAAACATATAGCACATATCTAAACTGCAGCTGACTGGAGCAGATGTGGGGTTTAAGAAAAAAGTGATGAGTGATTCTGAATGTTATCAACACTCTGCTGTATCTGCACTTTAAATCATATATATCATGTCAGTTGGCATGTGGGTTTAACAGAAGAAAAAAAAAGGGACATGGCTAAGAGAAGATGAAGTGACACACAGATGAATGAAATGTTTTGAGGTGTGAACACACTAAGAGGGGGTGAAGGAAAACAAAACAGACATGAAAGAAGTGGGATACGCTGAGAAGCTGGAGATGGATCCGAATGACTGAGAAAGAAATGAGACGCGACCACTGAGAAAGAAATAATGAGACTGGATATAAAATGAAAGGATAGATGGAGAGATACAAGGAACAGACTGGATTGAGAGAAATACCATGAGCAGATTTGTAGAAGTTAGCTCAAATTAATAACTACTGGTCAGGTAAGAAACAGGCCTTTCACTTTGGTACAAAATAACCACACTGAACCAGTGAAAAAGGACATTTCTGTCTTCTTCCATGATCATTGTGGTGCTCTTTGTCCAGATTGAGAATGTAATCTAAACAAACTACAGCAAACATCTGGAGACGGGTGTTGATGTCTGACAGATTCTTATACTTTCCAGTCTTGTTGAGGATAATGAAAAAAGGCCTAACAGTCTGCCCCAAGCCTAAAGATAAAATAAATACAGCAGAGTTCATAAAGCTCAAATGGACATAAGATGCTTCAGCACCTCTCAGGAAAAGCTCTGTAGAAGTGCATCTCATCCTGCTGCTACCACGACTACATCCTCCTTCAATGTCCACACAGGATGAGTGTGAGTCAACTCACAGTCTCTGTAGGAATGTATGTAAGCCTGTATGTCTGCACTGCATTGTATCTAGGTTTTCTTTTTACCACAAGATGATTTTTGTGAAATGACCACAACAACCAAAATCCAAAAGGTCTTGACATTTTTGGTCCTCTGGTCAACAAAGCTCTCATTCTCGGGTATGTCAGGTGCTGCTGGCTCACACCATTTCAGCTCCATATAGCTGCACAGATATGGATTTTCCTGTTCTAGAGGCTTGCTTCTAAAGACAAGCAAAAAATCCCAGTCCTCAGCTGTTTTCCCAGAAACCTCTGCATGAAGCCACTAGTGGCAAATTCATGTGTTCTGCAGCCTTAAGTTTACATTCAGAAATTTCTTCATGTGTCTTGAAGCGGTATGAAAACCAGACAAAAGAATATAGAAAAGCTCACCATGCTTAACTAAATTTACAGAACCATGAATAGCATGTATCAACATATCTAACACAGCAGGATGACAAGTTTCCACAACTCTGCCCAATTAACAAGCTCCATTCTGTGAACCACTTTGGTTTACAGCTCCTGGTTGGCATGTATTTATGTGATCCAAAGAATAGTGAACATTACAAAATGTGTGTGTTTTCTTTTGGACAAAAAACACTTGGCAAAAACAGGAATGTGTTGAATCACTGTTTTGCATTTCTCTCTTTTTTAAACAACTCACTAAACACATAAACAACATAACATCAAACTAAATATGAGAGGGTAAAATAGCACAGTTAGACAAAATCAGAAGAGGAGGAGGAGATGGGGGAAGGAGAGAAGATGAGAAAAATGACAGGGGAAAGTGACAACAAGATGAAAATGGTCTGATGGGTGAAGACAGTTGTGAGATTAGAATGGGAAAAATGTCAAAACATGACACGATGATAGACAGATGAGGAGAGGAGGGAGGAGGAAAGCAAAAGGAGGAGAGCAGAGTGAAAAAAAATCCTGATCAAAGAAATTAATAAATACTGATGGATGATGATAGGCGGGAAGAAGAAGAATGAGATAAGACAGGCAAGGATTAGGCAGGAAAAGTCCATCAAAAATAAAATATATGTTGCAATGACAGAGAGGAGGAATGATGGGCATATGGGTGGACTGAGGAGGAAGTGAAACCACCTGAGAAAGAAGTATGAAGGGGAAGAGTAGCCAAAAGCATGAGAGAAAATGGCAGCGTAATAACAGAGTGATAGGTAGACTGGGGAGTAGGAGGGCAGGGGAGAGAAAGGCCGATGAAACAAGAGGCAAAAGGCGAGATGAGAGAGAGGATGTGATGACAGGATGAAAAATGATGATTGGAAGGATGACGGCTATAACGGGTCCCACTGACTGTGGGAGAAAAAAGCAGTATAAACATTACAAAGAGGAAAGGAACGATACAAGGTAGCAACTCATCGAAGCAGAAAAAAGAAACCAGACTGAAGAAGAAAAGGAGGAAGATTGTTAAGAATGAAAGACAGTCAGGCAAAGACAGAAGAGATGGATGAGCAGAATGGAAATGAGGAGAGAAAAAGAGAGAAGGAGGTATGACTCAGTTCAAACTGAGAAACAATCACAGTAAAGTTCTGCGCTATAGGTAGAAAATAAAAACTTATATTCAGTTTGGTGCAAAATTTCTACTTTAGTTTTTATTCAGCAAATAGAGAGTGAGGTAAACTGTTTTGCTTCACGCTAATCTTGGCCTCAATACCAGCGGGAGCAGCAGCAACACAGTAAGTTCAACAGAATCGATTTGTGAATTGGTTTGTTCAAGGTTATTGATTTAGTTGGCATCAGGTTCAAACTATTCAGGCAGAGTTTTCATCCACACAAATCCTGTGTAGCAGCAGAATGGGTTTGGTAAAAATCCTGATTTTCACCTCTGAATAAGCACTCGAATCACTTAATTTCTACAGCAAAATATTTATGGTAACCAAGGAAAATGATGATCAAAATGATGGAAATAAGTATCAGTCAGTGTCTGTCCCACTTGACTGTAAAATCATGCTGTCATTGCTGCTTTTAATTTTAGCAGCAGAATTCTACTGCTCTTAATCCTTACAGCATATGAAGCCTTTTGCAATAGATACACTCTCCTACTGGTATCAGATATAGACTGGTATCTCTGAGTAAAAAAGTGACTGTCACTACAATAGACCTCTTCCACCACACACCACATTGTGACTCATTAAAGGTGAAGCTCAGGTTTAAGTAATAACATTAATGATGACAACACATGTAACTGGAATGCTACAGTTAGCACTGCTATTAAATTTGCCTGTGCTTTATCTGCTGTAACTTGTCTGTCATGAAAATGTTCCATGTTGTTTTAAATGGAATTGTGTTTACTGTTTTTTTATTTAAATAAATGCAGGCAATCCCTTTTTCTAAGCTTTTGGTGCCCTCTCCTTATTCCTAAACATGCTACTAAATTGCAAAACCAAAAAAAAACATTCACCGGCTTTAAAAATGTAACAAGATAACATCAATTTAGCCACCTAACAGTGTTTTCATGGGTTAAACGACTCCCGCTGTTTAAACTGCAACCTCACAAATTTCTTTTTTAAGGCAAAATGTTTCTGAAACCCACCTTCTTCCAAGGGAATCAAACCCCAGTCGAATTTATTCCTTGCTACTGTATGCCTGCTCAAGCATCTGGCACTTATAGTCTGTGGGCCACAAAAGCAGTATGACCTTGCTTAATGCAATAAAAAAGGGAAAAGCTCAGCTTAACCGAATGTGAAGCTACCTCTGCAATGGAAACACCAGTAATACTCAGCATCCATTGCCATCACAACATCCTATTGGGTCAGACAGGCTGAAATTCAGCTCACATACACTTTTTGGAGTTCATTAAATCAGCACTATAGCAAGGAGGATGGCAGCTAAATAGATCAGCTAGTGGGAACTGAGAGTGGCTTTGTCAACACACAGACAAGCCCAAATATACCCAGAAACATATATCTGCAAAGATAAAAAAAAAAAAAAAAAAAGTGGGTGCAGTTGGTGACTCAGCAGCACAATTTAGATTTAGCATCCACACACACTAACACACATAGTCATGTCTTACTATAGTTGTGAGGACACCCAGTGGCACAATGCATTGCCTAGCCCTTTACTCCAAATTAACT